AGAAGTATAATTTAGTTCTTCAACAAATTAAAGCTATGAAAAATAGATAAATCGCCGGAAGAATGCAGCTAGCTACCTGGAGCTTCCTTTTCCAAGACCTTTGATGCTTCCTTCCACGAACTTTAGCTTTGCAGCTTTTCTTCATCAAAGCCATCAACACCCAATCTGTAAGTACAGAAAAGCTACATTCTTTTATTCTAGAAAACGTTCCAGGGCATAAAATCACGGAATTTAGCCCAGGAAAAGTTAACTCCTTATGCCTACAACATGTTTGTGGTATTGCGTAAAAGAACTCGAGTGTAATAAATTAGAAGAAACACTAGAAAAGAAGCAAACTTCTTACGTTTAAATTTGTCTTGAACTGGTAAAGTGAAGAGAAGAAGAGCCAGTTGTTTTTCTTTTGGGATGCAATATATGATGGGAAGATAAAAAAGAAAAGCTTGCTTAAATAAGTTGCGAACATGTAACTGTGAATACTTCAATGATAGTAACGGATGTTAATAGTTTGTTAGCTGTAAAGTAATGGCTGAGGAAACATATGCGGATCACAAGTAGTTTACAGCTAGTGGGAGCAGAGGGGTCGAGCGAGAATACCGTCTCGAACAGCTAGACTCTTGAGGGGTCGTTCGATTGGTTGCTAAATCCAAAATTGTCACCATCGAAAGATTTCATTTTCTGCTTTTCTTCTTCTTTTTTCCACAAATTAAATTGCAGACTAATAACGTTGGTGGGATACGTGGAGGTAGATGGAATGGGATTTGATTATGTCATTATGAAAACCTTTTTCATTTGCGAACTCTAGATCCCATTCCCATTGTAGTAGAAATCCCAGTCCCATTAAGTATTCCCTCATATTTGTTACACATTTCTTTTTGTTGTTCATTTTGCTGAAAAAGTGAGAACTTGCTTTCTCTTTTTCCCACCCACAACTCTTTTTAATTTGGCTTGGGTGTTGTCCCTTTGACACCATTTTGATTTTGGAGCTCAAATCAGTTACGGATTTGCAGTAGCACTCAGATCATTTATGTTTGGAAAATAGAAACGAAACAAAAGAAAGAAATTGTGTTATGAGGCGTGAACTAATGTCACAGTTCTATCTATTCTGGATTGGTGTTCTATGCCTAGGAAAGCTTTAAGTATTTAACTGGTATTTGTGAGTCTGCTGCTGCTGCATCCTGGTTTAGTATGAATGATTTTTGAATTGCCTGTAGTCCTCCCAAATTTGTCACGGAGAGTAACAATTATTAATCCTTTAACATAGTTCTGAGGATCACTGTGGCTCGTTCTGCTTCCTCATAAGTTCACTGGCAACAAAAAGAAGACAAAATTATAATTATCAATTTATGATGATCACAAACAGAACATCAATTAATTTGTTCTAATTTATCTATTTTTTACCCTCTTCTTTTCTTAATTTTTTCTCTGATCAGCAATGTTAGCAGAATCAGTAGGTAATCTTGTTTTATAATTAATGAAATAAGGAAATTAATTGAGGAAAATCAAAAGGTTCATTAGACCAACCGCAGATGCATAACAAGATTGGTGAATTTGGAGGGGTTGCAGTCTTTCTTTGCTTTCAAAATTTCAAAGATAAGGTTGAGTCGAAGCTGAGTTTCAGCTCTCTGTTTAAATATGAATTCTGTTTCCTTCCTGAGCTGATCGCATTCAGCTCCAAGTTTTATTAGTTTTTCTCTTACTTCGTCCTGCCCCTCCTTGACGCGATTTTGTTCTTGACTGATTCCTTCCATCTCTGCTTTTAATTCCATAATTCTTCTGTTTGAGTTATTCAATCTTTTTCTCCTCTGGCACCAAAACTTCAAATTAAACAAAAGAAGAAAAAAAAGAAAGAGAAAAAAAAAACCTTGATTCATGATCGGACAATCTTAGTCATTAATGTTATTCATGTCCACATTTAAGGTTTGTGGTTGTCAGATCATTCTTGGTTTTTCCTTAGTCCAGGCTAATAAAATTGGGAGAGGAAAGAGTTTAACATACATACCTGTTGCTTCCTTAAAATTGATCTGCACTTGCGATGGCATTTCCGCAGTGATTTCAAACCAGTCTTTCTCTCGGGCACCACGAGGTCCGCTCCCAAATCCATTATCTTGACTCTTTGCGTGGGGAGCGATGCCAAGGGCCAATTGTTTTCCGCTCTACTAATTCATGTAGCATTTTAACCCCTTTATATACTAATACAACCACCAAATGTTACCCCAAACCTGAAGTGAACGCGAAATATATTCCAATTCTAAAGGCAAGTATCTCGATTATTCCGTGTGTAATCGATCGATATCTACAAACTACTATATAGGGAAAATATCGTTCGAAGAAGACTAGGCAATTTGTTTGCTGAAACGTGTAGAGACACAGAAAAGAACATCCACGAGGTGTTACTAGAGAAGTGCAAGGTAAATACAAGGGTAGGCAACTTCACTGTCATCAGACTTGATGGGTAATTATCTGACTGATCAAATAATTGAATCACAGCTTAATTGGGTTATTCGGTTGATTAAAATTAACCAAGAATACTATTGTATTAGAGTTTAGTCTGTTGTCAGTACAGAATCTGCAAAACAACTGATGATAGTTTGTTCCATTTGTTTGATAAAGTATTGGGTTATTCGGTTGACCAAGTATTGCATAACAACTGATGATAGTTAGTAATTAACCCACTATTTTAGTTTAATTATTGATAGACAAACTTCTTAACGAAACATTTTAGTTAACCAACCGAACCAATTGGAAAAAAATGTAGCAACTAGCTAGAGTTGCTGGCAAAATTTTTAAAAAAAAAGATTAAGAAGACTTTAATTTTTGTTAAAGAGGACATTCTATTGGCCGACGAAGAGGACTTTTACTTTGGAGTCTTTATGCGTGGTAGCTGCATCTCGCGAGGTTCGCGCGGTTTTCCGTTAGGTCCGATCAATACATCGGCGGAGTCGCGCGTTTAGGAAAGAAAAAAAAAAAAAAAAACCAAAATGACTTTATGGTGTAATGAGCAATGCTAGGGGCACTCGCTTTTCGCACTCTCCAGTCAACACTTTCTCTTGTATTGGGCCACGTTATCTTGTTTCCCGAGAAGTTGTGCCTGAAAGCTTTAAAGAAGCTTACATGACTTTATGGTGTAATGAGCAATGCTAGGGGCACTCGCTTTTCGCACTCTCCAGTCAACACTTTCTCTTGTATTGGGCCACGTTATCTTGGTTCCGATAAATTGCGCCTGAAAGCTTGAAAGAAGCTTACGTGGCCCAATGCAAGGCGAAGTGTTGGCCGGAGAGTGCGAAAAGCGAGTGCCCCTAGCATTGCTCATGGTGTAATAGATTTAGAGAATAATATACGTCAGTGGTGCTCTTAAAAATTATGTAAAATTATGTATATTAATTTATTATTTATAATAATATAATTAAAAAATTTACATTTTTAATATATTTGTAATAATAATAAAATTTATATAATTAATAAATTAATTAGATATATTTAATGAATCTATAAGTTCATATGCATGATGTTGATAATAAAACACTAAATCTAACCTTGACTTTTTAAAATATTTATTACAAAATATTATTTTTTCAATTGAAGCTTTGATATGCACTATATATATATGAGAAGAGATTTATTTACACATTATATTTATATAAAATCTAAACTATTTAACTTTAAATTCTTAATGATTAAAATATGTTACGATTTTTTAAATAAAAACAATAATTATATTTAATAAATATGAATAAATCTCAACCATTGAAAATAGAGATATTAATATTTAAAATTTTATATAAATGTAGTGTGTAAGATTTATGTGTAAGTAAATGCATATTATATCGATAAGTTATGATCCACTTACATACAAATTTTATATATTGTATTTACACACAAATTTTACTTATTATACTTATATAAAATCTTAATAATTTATCTTTCTATTTTCAATGGTTGAAATTTATTCACTTTTTATCATATGTATTAAAAATAATTATCTTTTTCATCTAAAAAATTGTAATAAATCTCAACTATTAAAAGTGATAAAATAAATTATTAAGATTTTATGTAAGTGTAGTTTACATGTATAAGATTTTTATATAAGTGGATCCCTCCTCTCACACATACACTCTCTCTCTTTATGTATATATATATATATATTAAAGATCCACTTACATATAAATTTTACACAAAATCTTAATAATTTATCTTCTCACATTTAATAGTTAAGATTTTATGTAAGTATGGTATGTAAGATTTGTACATAAGGAAATCCCTACTATATTTATAATATATATAATTATATACATGTGTGTGTGTTAGGATCACTTTATATATAAGTCTTACACGCTATATTTATATAAAATTTTTAACCATTTATTTATTTACTTTTAATGGTTCAGATTTATCACTTTTATTATATTTATTAAAGATAACTATTTTTTTGTCGTGTATATATATAATAGGGATCTATTTATACATAAATCTTATACACTATGTTTACATAAAATCTTAATTATTCATCTTTTTATTTTTAATATTTGAGATTTATCATGACTTTTTAAATGAGAAAAGATAATTATTTTTAATAAATGTAAATAAATTTTAATAGTTAAAAGTAGAGAAATAAATTATTGAAATTTTATGTAAATGTCATGTATAAAATTTATGTGTAAAATTTATATATAGGTGAATATCTTTTCATATATATGTATATAAAATTTATTATGTATGAATTATATATGTGGTAGGTTTGATCCACATAAAAAAGGAATCTAGATTTGGAATTTAAGCCTTCTTTTAATATATGCGCAGATGATTAATGTTCTTTAAGATACTTGTTTTCTCAGACACCTCCCGTGCTTTGCTTAGGGTGAAGGGTAGCGGTGACGGGTTCCTCCCTAGGGTTTCTCTCCGACGGTGAAGTTCCTTCTTTCCTGTTTTCTTCTTACCCTTACCTTTCGGTGGTAATAAACTTGACCCACAGAAAGATCCAACTCTATATATATGGAGGAAAATTTTGAAGAGCATCGCACTTGTAAATACTAAATAATAAGAGCACAAAAATAAGGTCATTTTAGTTTGCCAAGTATATGATGACTTTCCTTAAAATCTACGAACATCGAGTTTGTCGTACCAATGGCAGAAGTAAAGGCAAGAGAAGTTCTTCTTTCCCCATTCCTAAACGTGGATCCAGATGTTCACGAATCGAACAACTGGTATTTATTATTATTTTTTTTGGGGTAAATTTGATGGAATGTTCTAAGGTTGGAACATGGAAGTTTTAGCCATGTCTATGTCAGGTTTAGCCATTACATTTTGTTAAGGCTGTTGGATATATGGGAGAATGAAAGGGAAATTGAAAATTGTAATAATTAATGTTTTAATTGTAGCTGTGGAGGAAGAGGACTATGCAGAAGATGGAGAGGAGCATGAAGAAGTTGAAAAAGGAAATGGAAGAGATAGGTGAGGAGCAGAAACAAATAAAGGAGGGGCAGAGGCAAGTTAGGGAAAAATTTGAGGCGATGGAAGAAGAATGCAAGCAGCTCCGCATGGAAACCTGGCAAATAACAATGTAGAGCAAGAACACCCAACTTCATCTTGCCCTTATGTTTTAGATCCTCAAGGCTAGGGAGAACAATGATCTTGTTAGAGCTACTGAACTTACTCGATTTCTCCAGTTAGTCCCATTTCCTAATTCCAATCTAAGAGCATGTTTGGTGCAGATTGTGGAAAGAGCCTTTTGGCTCTAAAAGCACAAATTGCACCAAACGGGTCAGCTTCCCAAACTTGCTGCAGCTTTTGAGAAGCTGAGCTTCTCGCCGTTCCTTTGCAAAGTTCAGAAGCTCCAATTTCTTACTTCTGCAGGAGCTTCTAGCTCCATATTTAATGAAATTGACATATTCTTCCCATTTTATCCTCACATTTCCTTTTATTTACGAAAAAACTAGTATATAAAGGACCAATTTATAACATCACTGACTAGTCTAGGCACAGTTGTTTCTTCTTCTTCATCTAATCAGAAAAACAAACCAAAAATATCCAATCAAAGAAACAAACCGAAAATACTTACCATATTCTTCCTCATTTTCTTTTCCCCTAAACTAAAAATCCCCTCATCTTCAGTTCGAAGACGAACCCAAGAGCTGGGTTCGTGGCAAACCCCGCGCTTGGGTTTCGAGGCGAACCCAGCGCCTAGGTTCGCGACGAACCCAGCGCTTGGGTTCTGAGACGAACTAGGCGTAGGTTCGTCGCAAACCCCTCCTCCAGGTTTGTCCCGAAACCCAGGCACGGGGTTCGTTACGGAACCTAGCACCTGGGTTCAAGATGAACC